TGAGAAACTCCTCTCGGCTGTTGCAGCAGTTACAGGTAAAGTCAATAGAATCCTTAGTATAACATAAGTATTAGGGTAAAGTTCTATCAACTTGTTTCTACATATGTACGTAAGAATTGATTTCGGATCACACGTTTCGAAAGTAAAACGTTTTTGCAAAGATATAATTTCACCATACAATTCAACAGCAACTATATCCGTACTTAATCCATCACTTGAAGTTAGGGCTATTTGTAAATCTTTACAATTTTTCATAAGTTCATCAAAATCAGAAATTTCAGTTATATTATAGAGAAATGAAAATAAATCGCTGTGATCTGTAAGTTGTGAAAATCTGTCATTGATTGATTGAATAGCAGTGTCTAAAATCTGATTGAAAAAGTTAATTTTAAAACTTTGTTTTGGGTCATGAATAGGTTCGTCTCGTGATTCATATGCAAATTGAGTAGTTCTACGACGAATTCGAGTTGGGACAGGAAAGTTAGCCTCAATTTGAAGTTCATTTGCTAGTGTCTTAGCTTGTCCTAACGTCTTTTGAAAACCTTCATCTGTACGATATTCTTTCAAAAATATTATTGTATTCTTTAATTGTGTTATAGTTTCTGAAATATTCAATGACACAGATTGAAGTAATTTACTTGTATGGTTAATTTCGAACAATATATCATACCAAATAACAAGACAACACAAAAATTTAAAATCAACTAATTTTTCAGCAATACTTTTAGCTTCTGCACGACATTTTACTCCAGTTGCATTCACAAGTGTTAAGTCTTCTACAATTTCTATTAATGAATCATACACTTCCCCAACTTGAAATCGAATGGCTTTAACAGCGTCAACTCTGCTCTCCCAACGTGTTGCACTTAATGGTTTTAGGGTAAGACTACTAACATGTTTTTTAAATACGTTCCAACGATGAGTTGATCCCGAAAAAAATACATAAATCTCTTGAATTAAACCAAAAAAATTAACGGCATCTAAACAGCAATTCGCAGCGTCGTTTAAAACTAAATTTAAGCAATGGGCATTACATGGAACGTAAAATGCTCTTGAATTAATTTCTCTCACTCTAGCTTGAACGCCACTATTTTGACCTCGCATATTTGAACCATTGTCGTACCCTTGGCCTCTCATGTCATCGATAGGTATATCTAAGTCTTTTAGTTTTTGAATAAGAACATTTGTCATGTTTAACCCAGTTGTGGAATGTAATTCGATAAAATCTATGAAATGTTCATTCACGGAAACGTTTGTATGTTTTTCATTCTTATTGATACCTTCTGTAGTTGTAACAAATCTAAATATCATAGTCATTTGTTCTTTGTGACTTATGTCAGGAGTACAGTCTAATATTATTGAATAATATTTGGCATTTTTAAGAGCAGATATGATTTGTAAATTAATTTTTTTGGATAGTAATTGAATAATTTCATTCTGGATATTTTTACCGAGATAGTGGGAGTGAATTTCTTCAGAAGTTATCCTTCTTATGTGCTCTTTCATAACAGGATCATATAGACCCAAAAACTCAATCATTTTTAAAAAATTACCATTATGAGGTGTATTGAGTTTATCAGAATCGCCTCTTAGAGGTAAATTTTGTCCAGCCATAATTTTAATAAGTGATATTATACGATTAATAACAGCTTTCCAGTGTTCAGTTTCCGCCCTAATAATCACCTGGTTAACATCATCTATAGTTTTTCCCATTTTCACCCTTATTTCTAATTCTTTCCAATTTAGTAATGCATTTTTATGATTAGGCGAATTTTCGTGATTTTTGAGAATATTTCCTATATTTTTCCAATCTCGATTACCATGTGTAGCAAGAGAAAATGTACCAGATTTAAACAATTTACAACAGAAACAAAATACTGAATCAACATCTTTTGAATACATAAGCCAAGTACGCTGTATGTTTTCACCATTTGATAGAATTCGATAAAAGTATTTACTAGAAAATGATCTACCGTCATCATTTATAGGATACTGAGTTAAAATAATCTGAACTGGGTTATTAAATTTTTTTACTAATATTAACCTATGTCCATCATTCAATGGATCAGGCCATTTTGATGGATCCTCAAAAAATGTAAGGTCAATGCTATCATCAGAGACGATATTAATATCATCTTGAACATTATTTGAGATATTATTATTAATTATTTCCTCACAAATCGTGTTGTTATTATTAATATTTTCAGGATCTTCAACATTATTTGATTGATGCTCATTATCGATATGACTTTTTGAGACGTCATTATCAATTATTTTCTCACAAATCGTACTGTTATTACTAATATTTTCAGAATGAAGCGTAAAGTTATTCACAGACAAATTATGTTCGATTTGTTGATTTGGTTTTAAAAATTGAAGAAGACCAACCCGTTGCTTAGCAGAATCTTTTTCTCGTTCAATTCGTTTTTTTTTATATTGTGCACCCGATAAACGTTGCCGTTTATTCCCTTCTCCTGACATTTTCAAACTGTAGACTCTACAAATAAAATATAGTAGTAAATTTGACGTTTTGTTGAGTTTTTACTATGTTTTATTTTTATTGATAAGTGATAACTATTTAAATATGTAACATCGCACATATGATATAATTGATTAAAAAAATTTGACAGGTAATATTTAATTTAATGTTAAAAATATAAGTAACCCAAATGTATTTATATAACATTTATTATAGTGTTGCACATTACGTATAGTTTCGACTTGTTAATAAAAAAATCGTATTCTCTAAACTGAATATTAAATTAAAAAAAAATTGTATTAATTATACCTACCTATTTAAATTTAAAAGTTGATGAATATCAGGATATTTCTAGTTAAATCACTTTAATATGATAATATTACATGGTAATATGAATTATATTTTCTAAAGATAAATAAGTTAAGTAATTTTAAAATATAAAAAGAAATGAAAATATAATAGATAAGTACAAGATTTATATATAGACATAAGTTTTAATATTTGGTCATTAAATCATTATTTGAACATTAGTTTTATAAATATGTACGATGTACCGATAGTATTTTACTTACTTAAGAAATCAACTGAATTTCAATTTTGCTTGTGTGTTGTGTCAGCCGTCAAGAATCGAGCACGAGTCACGATGAAATAAAAGTTAGATACAAATTATACGAATATACAATATACAAAATGCTGCTGATGCGATTAAAATATAAAACAAAACCGTAACATGATTTGACATGTCCAAACTGGAAAGCGAGTGCGTCCGATGCGTTATCGCATCGGCCGTACTCGCCGGTCAAGTTTGAACTTTAAAAATAGTTTTGTTTTTCATCGCATTGGCCTTACGAACATTGACAGAACGTTATAAGTATTTTATTATGTATTTATAATTATTATATTATATTTTTTAAAGTATTTCATTGTACTAAATTAAATTACATTTTTTAAAATGCCGGCATGCCGCCCCTGTTAAAGTGCCGCTCTAGGCAGGTGCCTAGCTCGCCTATGCCTTGAGCCGGCCCTGTTACTAGTTTACAAATGTACTATATTATAATATATATTATCAATATCATTGCGTGTACCGTGTAGCGATAATATTATATACCTGAAAACACGCTTGAATGTTTATTAAATAATGCCAGTCGATGTAGTATACATACCTATGTGTATAATTTAGGGTATTTGTTTGCTTATGTACAATGTAAACACACACACTATGACTATAACTATACATAGGACATAAATTATATATCTGTTTTGTCTATAAAACGGAGATAAATAATTTTTTTTTAAAAAAAACATAATACAATAGTTACAAAACATAAAATAAAAAAATATTTTTTTTTCCTTTTATTATACCTAATAGGTAACTATAGTTTATTATAATTTTTGCACATCTCATTATATCGGTTCAATATTTTTTAATCATTGTGTTTAATCGTAATTGTTATTTTTTAAGGTTTGTAATGAACAAAGACGACGACAATGTACGTACCTACTTACATTTCTTTTATTGTATAAAAGACGAAGAAAAAAAAAACTATACATCCTTAAAAACAAGTCTACTGCAATATTCCACTAAAATTCTAAAGGATTATTATTGTTACTATTTACTGTTAAACGTCGGGCGACCCCTTAACGAGTAATTAGCAGAATAATTCACCTGGACAAGGGACCTGGCCGGTGGTGCGGAACACTTTACGCGGTGGGTATGGCGAGGGTATGGTGAGGTGAGGTGCGAGCGGTTTAGTGGTACTCAGGGGTAACAATTAATAGCGTCCTGACGATCTTTTCCGCAAGACTTATGCCCCGACAGCAGCCGTCTTGTTTAGCAATTAATCAGTATAAGTATCAACCCTCCGGTATGCCGTTTTATATATAATATAAAGCAGAGACGTTATTCTCTCTCGGTCGTGCGTTTATCTCCATCACTCTTTCTCCGCGCCGTCCTATAAATATATAGCCAAACTATAATAGCTAGCTGCAGTGCGTCGCGCCCACCACCATTACGTAATTGTTTCCAATTTACAACTCCGCCCGGTCGTCGTTTGACCGGTGACACCGCCAAGGACGCGGAGATAGGACGCAACTTTGTCGTCGGCGTATACACATTTGTGGAAGAGAGAGAGAGAGAGAGAGAGAATGATAGCAAGAGAGTGTGAGTTGAAGAAAGATAGAGCAAGTGAGAGGTTTTCAAATATTAAAGTGCGAGGGGGCGACAACATGTTAAAACACGAAACGAGCGACGGTGGAGAGGAAAATTGGAACGCAGCCGTCGTCTTGGCTTGTTGATCTAATTGACTCGTTTTAATGGCTGTCAAAGGAAAAGGATTACAGTGACGGGCCTTTAAGGAACCCTCCGTTTACTCGACAAATTAGTTGGCCAAAGTTATCCCATCAAAAACGAACCCTCGCGGTGATGCGTTCAATAATATACTTTATACATTTTATAGTTTTTTTCGTACCATACAACCATTATATACTGCAGATCTAACCTATATATTATACGATATCAATCTTAATGTCTTAAAAAAAACATAGCTCCCTTACCTGTGTGTATGTACGTGTGTTTCTTCATGTCGGATTTCTGATGAAACCGTTTGCCGCAAAACTGACATGGATATGGTCGGGTGTCTGAGTGGATCAGCAAGTGCGTAGAAAGAGTTGACGACCTTTTGAACGTTTTGCCACACTGTTTGCATTCAAACAGCTTTTCTACGTTGTGCGACGAACGACGACAACAGAGCCACCTGAAAAAGACAGCAACCGAGTACAGTACGATGGAATGATAATAACGAAATAGTACTTTTTTGAGTATTAATTGTTCACAATTATACAGATAATCAAAACAAATGAGATCGATCAAATTATCTAAGCTCTAAAGTATATTCGTAGACATATTATAGGTGAAGGTGCGTTAGTATACAAGCAGTGTTTTGGGCTTGTGATTGAACGTCAATAATTATATCCACAACACTGCAATACGGCACAAATTTCAAATAATTAAAAAATCAACGAAACACGGTGACGCAATTAATACTGTGATAGTTATATTTATTGTCGAGAGAAAAAAATTAAATATAATTAAATTATATATTTCCTATTGGTGTACTTATTTGTTATTATACTTATATGTATTGCCTGAACAGTATGTTTATTATTATTTTAAATTGATTATTCAAATACAACTATAATATTATTATACATTACTTATTTATTTGATCAACAAAATATAAACATTTATAACACATCGAATTAAAAATTTACTTTCCCGATTGAAAATCATTTGTCTCCAAAAAATCACTTTACCACTATACGCCTTATATTAATGTTAAATTTGTTATGCTGATTAATAATGCTAAGATTCTCAGAGATTCTATTCAAACAAATTTCTTTTGTTTCATAGACATGCTTTTAATCTACATATTTATTTATTAAACCTAAGTTGTCGGAGCGACATTCACGAATTGTGTTTTTTATCCGAAACATTTTTTTTATACATTTCATATTTATTTTGCTTGTTGTTTTATATTTTTAAATATATAATTAAATATTATTCTTATCAATACCTATCACAAGAATATATTAATTAATAATTAATATTGATTGAACAAATTATTGACAGCCCAAAACTGGTGGACTTTAGCACTAATATTTGTGGTGGATAAAATGTTATTTTATGCAGATAAATCCACGTATAATTTGCATAGTTCAATACTGTTTATTTAAAATAAAAGTTACTGGCGTTGTCGTAGTACATACGACAATATTGATAAGACGTATAGATGTAGCGAATATGTGTGTATAAATATATAAGTGTATATTATATAGACTTGAATATCAAAACTCCGGTAGAAATGTAGAATACAATAATATATTATACCATTATTGCAAAATCGTTAATAATAAGACGATGGCAAAATATGATTACGATATAGAACAGGTCGGACACGACTAACCGGTGTTGGTTCAGGCTTATCTCGGCGCCGAACGATTTGTTGCACAGCTCGCACGAGAACGGCCTCTTGCCGTTGTGCGACCTGCGGGAGTGCACCTCCAGGCCGTGCGATGTCGGGAACATTTTGTCGCACTTGATGCACGAGTACACGTCGCCAAAAACGGAGCCCCTCATCAACATGTGGTGGTGTCGCATGTGGCCGCCGGGGTCAGAAGGTGGAGCTGCGGCCAGCGGCTGATTGGCGCCGGGGGCGAACTGCTGCCGGAGCTTCATCATGTCCTCGGCCGACGGGTGAGGCACCACCACGCCAGAGGAAGTCTGCTGTTGGCCCGACGAGTGGAACGGATTGGCCGCCGGCGAACTCATGCCTGCAATATGGCAAGCACGTCATTTTTAATACGTACACCTCACGACGAAGGTTAGGTTACGGGTAGCAAAGGGGGCATTTGTCTCGGCTTGGTAAAAGATAGTAGCCCCGCATATCGATTAATAATATTAGATTAAAAAATAAGAACATGTTGACAGTTGATACCAAACTATTTCAATCGGTCAATGTAAGGATTGGAATAGCTTAAAAAAAAAAGCGTTGAACATAAGTAAATCTTGCCAGCCACCAAATGCACATTTTTAAATTGAATTCGATTTCAAACATTTTACAATAATAATCATTCTATACCAATAAAAAAGTTTCTTTTTTTTGGTTACACTTAAACCTCGAGAAAAATTTGTTTTTTGATTTTGCACATTTTCCAAGTCCATACGATTATGTTTGCCAGTTAGAACGAACGGTACACAAATACTCATTAGATTTCTATTGATTCAAATAATAAAAAATCTAAAAATAAGATTATTGATATTAGGGACTCTGGAAATATGAGTAGTTTAAAATTATACTTTTGCTGGGAGAACCTCTGGTGAATAAATTTTAGCATAAGTCGCACACATTTTCTCTGATAGTACACTAATAATTAGCAACGAAATAGTTTTTAGTTTACATTTGGTGAGGTGGGTCCGGCGAAATTCATGTCGAGTTGTAGGGAGAGGATATAATCGTATATAAACAATTTTTTATAGTAGGTACCTATAGAATAAACATACCTAACGTAGTATAGCGTAAAGGAATCATATTTTTAGATTTAGGAGTGATGTGAGGGAGAAGACTAATCGCTGAGAGGGTTGCTCATTCATAAAATCGTGATAAAATAACGGTACTAATTAGGTACCTATACGAAAACGGAAAATTATATCAAATATGTATACGTCAACCGTATAGGTAGGTACTATAATCGAACTATAATATTATATTATTATGCAAACGAAGGGGTAGGATTTAATTTTTCCACTCAAAGCTGAAATGTTGACGAATAAATAATATTAACGTACCTACCTACAATAAATATAATATTGAGTATTGTTTCAAATTTGAACATATAAATATAAGCATAATATATTAATATGAAATCGAAAACGCTATTGTAAAAAAAGGAACTTCCTGAGTAAAATGTGATATTAATTATCGATTTTAAATATTATTTTCATTTTATGGTATAGGTACTTGGGATCTTATAAAAGTAATGTTTGGAATTGCAATAAGATGTGTCAAATTATTCTATTGAATTGGAAATTTTTAATAATACATCTGCAGTTAAATTATATTGTGACTATTCAATTTATGAGTGAACACATATTGGCGCCAAGGTCATTTTAAAGAACCCTTCCCCCTTATTTTCTAATCAACGACCACGATAATACGTTAGCAACCCTCATACTAATAAGTAATAACTAATCACACACATAAATTATGGATAATGACATATTAGAGGTACATCGTACATGCAATTTCAAACATTTTATTGGAGCAATAATAATTTCTATCTATTTATTTATAATTGCTTATAGCTATAATATTCTCTTAATTGATACCTAATAAACCAAAAAATTACTACCAATCGAAACAATAGACTAGAACTACAATTACGATTTTTTTTTTATTTTAACTATAATCTATGGAGTGAATGAGACACATCTAATCAAAGTAGGTATATATAGTTCAAAAATTATCTTTATATAAAACAATGTAACTACCGATGTATTTTGTTATTATGCAATTGAATGTTTCAAACATAGCTGAAACATCTTATGTAAACATTTATATTAATCAATTTAAATTTAAAAAAAAAAATGTGAAAGTTTCATATATAAAATTATTGTTAGGTGGTACTCATATACTTTTATGAAAATGACAATAGTCTCTATACAATGTCATTTTTAAATTTTTCCTTTTTGAACTATAAAAAAAAAACAAAATCTATTTTATTCACATTTTCAGCCACCAATTTTTGTTAGTTTTTCCCAGTTCCCAAGGAAAGTATTGAGCATTTTCTACTTTTGACCCAATGCACAAACGATGGGGGAAAATTATTTCTAACAAATGCGAGCAACATATGCCCTATATAGTTTAGAGAATAAAACTATGTATGGAATTTGTACTTGAGTTGGGTTAATTATGTCGTTGACTTACCTGTTGTGGACAGAGGATGGCTAAAAGCAGCGGCCGCGGCTGCCTGGACTGCGCCTAGACTCAGATACAGCGAGCTGGTGAGTAGGTTGTGATTGTTGTCGGTGTGCGGATCACCATTTCCACCACTTCCACCGCCGTTGCCACCGTGCTCAGGCGAACCGCTGGATGGGTTCAGCATGTTGGCGGCCGAATAGAAGTGAGGGTGAAAACTGAAACCGGAAAAGTGTTTCTGAAGCAGAGAGTTGGCCGCGGATGGGTGCAGGTTCACTTCCTTCCGGGTGTCCTTGATCAGGTCTGGGAACTGGACGGTAGGGTACAGAAACGATCTTGTGACAGATATGGTATCGACGGCTGTCATGGCCGGTGACTGCTGCTGCTGGTGGTGGTGCTGTTGGTGGTGCTGTTGATGGTGTTGCTGCTGCTGGTGATGAGGGTGGTGATGGTGGTTGAACGGATGTCTAATGGTGCGGGGTGCGTCTGGCTTGAGCAGCGCACTGACGCTAAAAGCCTCCGAGTTTTTGGCGGTTACCGGCGGCTTGCGGGCAGTCACCTGCACCATTGGCTGTGGTGGTTGCTCTGGTGGTGGCGGGGTGGTACCACATTTGGTCACGTCGATGTCCGGCGATGCCAACCGGCTCTCCACGTCTAGTTCGGACGATGAGGATGGCGATGGCGAACTCCTCACCGGTGACCATATCTTCCGGGCTGACTCCCTCTTCACTTCTCTCTCGTCATCGTCTTCGTCACCGCCACCGCGACGGTTTTCGATATCTGGTACATTGAGGCTCTTGGTTATGTTGTTGTTGTTGTTTGCTGCGTACGATGTGTCGTAAGCCGAACGGCTGTCGTTGAACTTTTCCACCAGGCGGCTGATGCCGAACTTTATGCAATCTGGAAACAGAACGAAATATAGATTTTTATTAAAATAACTAGCTGACCCAGCAAAATATGTTGTATTCCCAGCTGGGAAGTTATTACTTAGGTAATATATATATATTTTTTTTTTTGGTGGTACCTAACTAAAACAAAAACCAATGGGAGCACCAACCAAACCTAATATTATATGTGAATATAATGGTTTCAATAGAAATGATGGTTTCCGAGTATACGAAGTACTAACAAACGCGCAGAATCGTTTATATAATATATATTAATATATTGTGTACAGATAGATAGACGATATGATAGTTTATATGGATTTACCTATGTGTGGATGTTTATACGCATATCGGCATATAATGTATGAGTATCGATGGAAGTTAAGGTAACAATCTTTTCCTATATGGTTGATATTTACCATAAGAAATACGTAGATATATAATACCCATCGTCATCTAGACGGGTTAGTATACAATGAAAAAAATTATCAAATCATCACTGCCAGTACCTAGACACCTATAATATAGCCATATAGGACATAGGTCCCATATTATATATTATAAGTACTAAATTATATAGATATTTATACATTTTCTATAAATTACCCTCCTCAGTTTTTATTATACATGACAAATGTATAGGTTATTTTATAATTACGCGTATCTATACATGTACAAACGAATTTATTTCATAAAAGCTAGTCTGTGTATCACATATATATTGTCATCAGTAATCAACTGCATCTCTCACCATAATGTTTGTCGGGCCAATAAATTGTATCAAATCAAAATGTTTGAAATATGATTTCGCACAATATGATGCCGTATTATTAGAAAGCCATACTATTATCACGGTTCATATTATTCAACTTCTTCTTCTTCATATCAGTTAGCAGCTGTGCGTGGGTCAAGTTACTTTTTGGATCCAATTATTAATCAGTTTTATTACTTTGCCAGTACTCAGTAGGTTATCTATAGAGGTTGTTCCTTACAAAAGCCTTGGAAGACCTATCCATCATATACTCAGTGGGGTATATGCAAATTATTTTCAGTTTGGGCCAATGTTGTCAATTTATCACTATTCAAGTATAGTAGGTACGACTAATATATAGCCATAATACTATACATATTTTAAGGAACTGGGTGGTTATAATTATGACATATAAAATACAAATAAAAATTGCGCAATTTAATTTTATAATTACGTAAAATTAATTTTTGAATTCTTTTTTAAAAACTATTGACAATTTCATATATATATATATATATTAATGTTATCTAACTGTGAATTTAACATCAAAGTCATCAAAGCAAGTCCTGACAATCATTTCCTTGTTGATTCCTCAAAACCGATTTAAATCAACCGGCCAAATTAATCATGGTGAAAAACTGTAAACAGTGTAGATATACATGAAATATTGAAAAGCTTTAATTGAACTTGCAATTTCACTATGGGCTCTGGCCTATAAGGAGTCTCCCCCTATATGCGCCACTGCATATACTATTCAGAAAATCAGCTCAAACCCAACCATAACAAAAACGCAATCATATTATTCAACAAAAGGTAGTTCGTAAAAGTATTTGTTTTCAAGTTCCAAAATTCTGAGCTGGTCAAATTATTTAGACCTCTATAATATAGAGCTAACCATTACACAAAATTTTTTAAAGTAAAATACAGTGTTCCAATATCCATTCAATTATTTAGGTGAGTCCTAAAGCTCAAACAGGAGGTGGGCGGCTCTGCATAACGCATCATAAATAATCGGTGTACGATACCAAAAACGCGGTTGAAACACTCTCTGTATATGTATCACGCACAACTCATAATAGAACAATGATATTATATGCATAGTATAGTACGAGGCAATCGTTAACATTGTTTAGATTGCCGTATATAGTGCGTAGCCATCTCGCGGTGCCCCTCGTGCCAATATTTACTCGAAGTGTGGTCCGGGCGGCGGTCCCTAAGTCCCCGCCGATACGTCGCATGAACTACACGAAAAGGGTTGGGAAAAAAAATGAAAAATTATACCCGCACCAAATTATATACAATTGCACACACACACACACACACACACACACATAAATTATCATAACGTCGCAGTGCATATGCCATATACCTGGAGAGGGCATTACGTGTATAAATAATACAATATGTATATGTATATATTTATATATATGAATATAAATATTGCGTTATATACAGCCTGTCGCAGTGTCGCATGACGTTCTGCGTGTTGTAGATATATGTATTGAGCGCTAAGCAAACACATCACGTCTACAACACACGCCGGAGCCGCGACTGTCGGTTGCCGTGCGCGCCCGGATAAACAAACCGTCAATTTTTATCAGTAATAATAATAATAATAATAAAATAACAATATATATATATACACACACACCTCACACATGGTTTTATTATTTACGACGCGTGCAATAAACCGTATATAATATTATAGATGACTGTCGTGTGTTATTTGTCTTCGTCGCACTCCCCTTCACGACCTACCCGCACCACCACCCATCACCCACTCACCATCCGGTATTTAAATTATAATAAATTCGATACGACAACGCGTGCAATATACCCGTCCGATATAGGTATCTACCTTGTTCCCGCTATGGGGTGCTCTTTCGATCGTTTTTACCGTCCCCCCAGGACCCAGCCACGTATAATAGATATAATATTGTTTTTTTATTTTTATCGTTACCTATATACTTACCTAAATATATATTATTATGTTATGTCTATAGTTCTGGCCGAGGCGTATCGCAGAGTTTCACACAGTCGAAACGATTTACCAAGACCATCTAGGAGCCACTATAGGTGAAAGATGATATATATATATATTATAATATATTAATATAAATATTATTAGAAATATAAAGATAATAATATATATTATATTATATTATTATATATTAATATAAATATTATTAGAAATATAAAGATAATAATATATATTATATTATATTATATTATTATATTATCTTTGTATTTCTAATAATATGTATACTATAATATAATTATCATCTTTCACCTTTGTTGGATCTATAGTACCAGGGAATCATTGACTTTCTGCTCTCTCTCTCTAATCAGTTCAATCAACGAAAATGTATGCAGTTCCTCACGTTACAAAAACACTATATAAATCTATTAACGTTTGCAACTCATTCCCAAGTAGTCATAATAACTTTTTCAAATTTTTATAATATAATCTAAGTCACTATACACAGACAGCACACACTCTCGTTCGTTTTAATATCGTAAATGAAGCACCTAAGCCAGTATTGAATTTATTTAGAACTGATATACAACAATACTTATATTTCACACAAAATTGTTTGCACCCTTAAATACTATAAAGAACTATTGTAAAAACTCATTCAAGGGTGACTACACATAATATAATAGAAATTTCGTCACACCGTCATGGTTCTTCATAACATAATAACTATTAATTGATAGAGAAAAAAGTTGTTGCTTTTAAAGTTGATCATAACAACTGTTACAAGATAATAATACAATCAATAATATTGATTCCAATTTCATACTAAAACATATGCTTACATTACAATTCTACAAAAATTGTGTTATGTATGATAAAGTTTTTCAAACCAGCATTTGGTATAGATACTATACTTTTAATATACGACTAGGTATTGTTAAACATGATTCATGTTTAAGCTCCTCAATGGTATAATTTACGAAAATAACATTTTTAGAATAAACAACCACTCCTGCCACCATAAAAAAAAGCTTAGTAGAAATCAATTACATGTCGATACAGCTAAAAACGGTTGTGGAGTACTGAAATCACACGATCGTTCGATGATGTATTGAATCGTTGAACTCGGTCGCAAGTACAATATAATACATACAACATAGGTAGGTATACTAAATTATTGTATAATATACCTATTTGAAAAACAAATCCATGATACGATTATTTGTACGGAAATCACCATGTTGACAAACGTATAACATCATTCCCAGATAGTATGCGGCGTTATGACAACAGTGCAATATTGGGAATGGTTAAGCCAAATAGCGATTTCTGAGTCACGAGCGACGACTTCCTATATGGTACCTACAGCATGTCACCGATTATGATTTAAAGATACGCAATGAGTGCCTAGCTTTAACAATATTATGTACTATATGTAAGACACACACCTGTGCCAGCAATATAATATAATAATGACGTTTCTCAGAAAAATGTACGTCAGACACCTTTGTCGGCGGTGTTGCTCGAACGTCTTCATTTCGAGCCATTATATATATTAAATCGTTTCACGGCATTTTCGATTAGCAACCGAAAACATGACGTAACAACCCTGTATACAAACTATACAGTAATATTATGTTTTACGAGATCCTTTCGCTTTTCTTCATTCTTTTCTATCGAAATTATTCATATTTCACCGTGAGTGCTCTAGATATATTTCGACTAGTGAATACCGGTACGAATATCATGCTCCTTGAATGATGCACGTACTATAATAGGCACAGGATATCATGAATTTAACATTTTCAACCGGAAAGCCGTTACGCGAGTGATTTCTCGACACTTGCTTTCGGATCCGTCTTAGATTTACGAGTGATCGGCGCTGTACGATGCATAATCATCTATATTCTATACATATTTAATCGATTCCGGTCGTATATTATACATTTTTAACTTGTCAGTTAGTTTGTTGCAGGACGAACGTCACATAATAATAATATAATATATTGTACACGCGTAGTATGTATTACGTTGTAAATTATTTTACGACTGTTGTCACAACTACGTTAAATATATATCTATATATGAGATTATTTTTATGACAGATGATGTGCAAACACGAACAACTACTCGATCGGATAATATTTACAGCGCAATTTGTATCATAAAACCATAAACTATATAATAATGATTTCTTTTACCGTTCGACTCCAAGCCTGTGTCTACTGTCTAGTGCCTATATACGTATACAACAATATATTATATTCAGTGCGTTCACTGATCG